TGTTGCCTTCCTCTTCCTGCCTGCCCTGCTCTTCCAGAGGTTGTCATGGTGGAGAGCATCGTTGAATTCAGGGAAAGGGGGCGTGCCGATGTCCTCTGCGGCCTRCTGCTCTTCCAGCTGCTCCTTCCCCCTCTCGCCAATTGCAACCTGCTGGTCGGTGGTCTCTCCCTCCACTCCGACTTGTTGCTCCACGCATGGGCGGAGCCTGCGCGTGTACACGGCAACTGGTGCTTGTTGTTCTTCCGCTGCGTGTGCAGGCTCCCCTTGCTGCCGCTCGCCCTTCTCCACGGCAGGCTGGACATCCCTGTCCATTTCCTTCATGGCCTCGCCCCCGCGCTTTTCCTGCTGTGCAGCATTCCTCTCCCTCTCCCTGCGTGTAGGGATCGCTGCACGACGGGCCTCCTCCTAAGCGACCCGACTCTCCACAAGTTCACAATCCCTGTCCGCCATCTCCTTCGCATGGGTGGCCTCTTCCTCGTCCGGGTCATCGTGGCGGTGCAGCAAAAACTCTACGTCCGTGTCCACTCTCTCGACCACCGGCGTAGGCTCAAGCTCGAGCTCCCTGTTTTGTGGCCTGGTTCGCCTGCCGACATACGTGGTCGCCGGGACTGCAGGCACCACACCAAGCTCGAAATCGGAGTCCTCGTCCTCGCTGCAGTCCTCCGATGATGACTCATTCCAGCACTTCCCCTTCCACACCATATCCTCAACGTTGCTGCTGTCACTAGTGTCGGAATCGAGAAGGTTTTAGGGGATCCTGTTTTTTGGAGCCTTTGCCATGTTTTTTTGCCTCATCTCCTCATCCTCTTTTTCAGCAGCATCCTGAGTGTCATTCGCCAGCGTCGACCCGTCATTCTGTTCTGGCTCCATGATTGGCTCGAAGAACGAACCCCAGACATCAACGAACCCGCTGTCCTTGTGGTGTCGAGCTCGCAGCAACTGCATGTTCCAGTGTATGTACACGAGCTTCTCGAGGGATGCTGGGGACAAACTGTTTCGTCTCTTCGTGTGGACAAAGTCCATGGAGGCCCAGTTGCGCTCASCGGGGGTCGCAGTGCTCCACATCCCCATAACCTTGATTACAATTCCCTGAAGTGTTGGGACATCCCCGCCATGTGCTGCCCACCAGGTCGCAGGGTTAAGCCTCCTCACATCRTCCACCGCCGGTTGTTTCCACATGTGCTCATCCTTGCGCTTCTTCATAGCTTTCCCGGGCTCCATGCACACTTGCTCCGTCGCAACCCTCGCGGGCTCTTTTTGGAACTCCATCAACTCCGCCCACAAGTCAGAATGTTCTTGGCTGTTCCACTCACCCCCAATCTGCCTCAAGAAGTAGCGCATTGCATTTTGCATCACTGCACTGTTCTGATCGAAGAGCCAGCGTTCATTCCGCCGCCGTGGATCAAGAACGAATGCAGCTGCATGAACCGTTTGCCTCATCATTTGCACGCGGTCACGCACCTTTTCCATGACATCCTCCCGCTCCTTCTGCGTCAGCACCATGTTCGTCAATTTCCGCCGAATCATATCATCGTACTCAACAAGATTGGTGGGAGGCATGCCTTCTGCGTCCATTCTCTTCAGCAACTGGAAGATCGGGTGCATGATGTCCACAATCTTCCTCACCTGCGGCCACCATGCCTCCGACCTCACTGTGTAGTACACGAGGTCGGCTCTCCTGCGCAACTTCTCCCCTGACCATCTCAATGCTCTCCACTTTGACGCCGCCCTCCCATCCACCATTGTGACAAGAACATCCTCTCTGTCTGCTAGTCACACAGATCCGAACCGCACTTCTGTCGGACGAAGTAAGGACAACGAGTCATCGACGGTCATCATCAAGTCGTGTGTGGCGTGATGATTCCGGATGAACTTGACGATTGTGTTCGCGGTTTTCACTGTGCCCTTGATCCACGACAGGTTGGCCAAATCCTTGAGAAGGAGACTGCAGCAGTGTGCCCCGCAAGGAACCCACGGAATTCTCGCCACGTCCTTGTCCTTGCGCCGTTCAAGGATTTGCGCCGCCTTCTTGTTCACTTCGGCGTTGTCGGTGCAGATCGCGTTGATGCGTTGCAGTCCAATCTCCCTCATTACTTGCTCCCATAACTTTGCCAACGCCACTGCATTCTTCTTCCTGCCACTCATTGTCACCGTCGTCACGAGCACCGCCCCTTGTTCCCCCGCCGTCGAGAAGTTCATCACTGGCCGATTCTTGCGGGTCACTTGACCCGTCAGTGATGAACGTGCATCCAGTCGAGTCCCAACACCTCATCATCGGGTTCACCTCCTTTTGGATCTTCAAGTAAATGATGTCCAGCATGACCGTCCTCATGTAGTTGTATGATGGTAGCTTCACCTTCGGCCTCACGTTCGCTAACTCCAGGTAAACGGCATGCAACGTCTGAGTCATGTCCATGTTCAAGAAATTGAAAGCAATGCCAGCCCTGAACATGGCCTCCGCCCACTAAATGTCCAGCTTTTTATGCGCCGCATTGTCCACCCAACGTCGCACAGTGGTCTGTCTCAAGGTAATCGTTCGTGCTGTTGACCCTTGGCCTTCCTCACCGCCTCCGCCCTCCGCTGCGCCTCCAGCGTCGACAGCCTCATCAAGTGCATCGGCGAGCATGTTTGCAATGCCGGCAACTGCCCGCCCTGCAACAGTCGGTTCCAGGGGTGGGCTCCTTTCCCCCGCCAATTGAAGTAGCCAGTGCAGATGTCGTCCTTCGCGTACTCGATTCAGGCTTGTCAACAACAGGCAATGCAGGTCCTTTAGCCTTTGCCGCTGCCGTTGCTCTTCGCCGGCTGCCTCGTTCTTCGCCGCCCCCCGTCATGGCCACCGGTGAGATATGACAAGAAGAAGAAGAAGAAGAAGAAGAAGAAGAAGAAGAAGAAGAAGAAGAAGAGGAGGAGGAGGAGGAGAATAAAGTCGGCTTGGCTCAAGTTGGCTGTGGGTTTGGCTACGGTTGTAGGAGGAGAACGGGACTGCTGGACGAAGACCGCCAAGAATAAGTTGGAAAAAAAAAAAATTTGTCGCCTCTGGCTATGGCTACTGATGTGGGGGGAGAAGAAGAAGAAGAAGAAGAAGAAGAAGAAGAAGAAGAGGAGGAGGAGGAGAAGGAGGAAAACGAACTAGTTAAAAAAAAAAAAAAAAAA